GGCTGTTGTCAGCAGACAGTGCTTTTTGCCGGCGCGGAACGCCGCCACCCCTCCGCCTTTTTGGGAACATTCACAGCGCGGTGCCAGCAAAACGCAGCCGGGGAATTCTCTCCCAATCACCGACATCGGGCAGCCGGAAATCACAAGGCAGAGCCTGTAAAAACTGGGCTGGCTTAGAAATCGAGATTCCTGATAAATAATAAGAATAATAATAAGAAGTCGGCGCCTTTTTAGCTGGCTGCTGGTTTGGGGCCTCAAAAACGCATCCCCTGAACAGGGAACCCAGTTGCTCTCGATCAAAAGAGATCGAAAGTCGCGGGTTTGACATCGTGGCGTGGCTCCAGGCGTTGAAGCTTTTGGGACAATATCAAACATCACTGACGTTGGGATGGCGCTGCCAGGAACGCCGGCTCTGCTCTTGCTGCCCGCCGCTGTGCTTGACCCATCGGGTCATGGGAACTCCCCCGGCTTTGGAGGGAGAGAGCTGTAAAAATCAAAAGGCGTCAAAACTTAAGTGGCTAATAAATGCAAAAAGCAGCAAAAAATAACTTAAAATCCCAGCTCGTGACTTGACTGTCTTCGGGATAGACCCCCCCAAAGTCAAGTTTTATCGCCCTAAGCCTATGGGCGTCTCGGGTTTTCAAGCCCCGTGGGAAGGGTTCTTGCCTTCCAAGAAGTGGCTCGGGAAGGCGGGTGCCCGGTTCAGAGTTGCTTCTCGCCTAATTTACTGCTCAGCAGTATCACAGGGGCGCGCCTCTTCTCCGCTAATTACGGCCTCTTCGTTTAAGCAGGCGTGAGCCTTGCTGGCTGCTGCTGGGGTGTCATCGACGACGCGCCCGCCGCTGTTTTGCTGATTCGAAGGGCATGGAATGTGTTTGTGCGTTTGATTTTGGCCTTGGGGCGACAGGCCGTTGAGGCACCATCCTGCACGGTTTTGCAGATGCGTAGCTTGACGCTCAAAAGCGGTTTTAATGAGCGATTTAAACAGCAACAGCCCGGGCGCTCCGCTCTAGGTTTTCGCAGAACTGGGTCCTTGTCTTCGGTCTCGCTCGCGTGGCTTGGGTTACCTCCATACATTCCAGCAAAAATGCTGGGGTTGTGGTCATCTTTGAAAGCCCGGGAAGGGAATCTCTGCAGGCAGAGAGCACAGAAGTGCTTTTCTTGAGAGATTGACCCGTCAGGCTTCTTTTCACAAACCTCTATGAGGAATTTAAGGCAAGAACTGAAATAAAACAGACTTGCGCTGGCACTTCTGCCGCCTCCTGGGGCAGTAAATAACCCGGTATCCCACTCCCCGCAATGTCAGGTGTCTGAATATAAATCCAATGGTCTTTTTGTCGCAGCCTGATCGCAATGTATTAAGTCGCATTAGCAAATTTGAAGTCTGTCTTATTTTAGATACCTACAGTGTGTTTGTGCAGTGGAAATACTCGGAGTATAAAGGGGGCTTGTGTCTGTAGGACCCAGCGCATACTCGAAGGCTTATATTTAATATAAGATTTATATTTTGCTCTCCCCTTTCCCTAGTAAGCGCCTTCATGACCTTGGGGTTGCCACAAGTTCTAAAGTGACTTTATCTGGATCGTGAATCGGTGGTTTCAGCTCGGTTCAGGATTTGCGCTTGGTTTCTGCTGGATCCCGGTGGGGAAAGCCGCAAGGTCAGGTAAAATACACACAGCCGAGAAGAAATACTGCTGTGCTGGGAAGCGGGGGGGAGAGCCCCCTTGAAACGGCGTTTCTTGGCGCTGAAGCCCGGCAGCGTGCGGTGCCTGCAGCGCCTACGTCTCAGCTCTTCGCCGCGTTGAAGTCGCTGGGTCTTTTTTTGCGTACTTGCTGAAAATCTGCTTGCTGCCATGCTCTTTCGGCACCGTTGCAAAAGAAAGCCGTGTCGTGGTTAGGGACATAAGCCCTGACGGGAGGGACGGCTCCGTCGTGACCCCAGGAGATGCTTCCTGTGCCACGTACCTCGCGTTTCCCGGCGCCTTCCATCGTGATGCCGCGTCTGGAGGGAAAAAGGTGCTGACTGCAGGGCACAGCCCACGGGGCTTTCCTGTGCCTTTCGTTGGACTCGGCTGGTTTCTCCCAGTTTCTCCCCATTTCTCCCCGTTCCTTGCAGCCCGATAGGTGGGGCGTGCGTCGCCCGGCCACTCGGTCAGAGAGGGGAGGCCGTGGCTGCTCCTGCGTGCAGCTCCAGCCTTGCGCCCCAGGCATCGTCCCCGTCGCAGACCCGAGCCGGGTCTCCAGTTCCCGCGCAGCCAGAGGGGGATTTTTGTACAAAGCTCGGCAAAGTTCCCAATAAACAAGTAAGTAGGTGAACCAAGGGAGGTTTTCCAGCTGGGATCAGCTGCCTCGGCTCCGGCGATGAAGCGAAACTCTGCCGCTTGGCGTACAAACCATCTCCCTGCTTGTTTACTGCCCGGAGCACC